TTGCCAGGGCAAGGTGTGTGACAATTTACTGGTTAATTAGGTCTCCCTCAGAGACCTCACAAGCACAGTGACCTACATCATACCGTCGGGAGTCCCCCACAGGGCTCCAAGGTGTGTATAAAAGATGAACATCCCGATGAATCATAGAGAGCTTGTAATTCATTTGGAATCACAGAGATGAACTGGAGATAAATTCTACACATGAATGTAAGAAAGGAGGAGCACTGCAGTAGACCTTCTGGTCCATACTTGGCAGATCCTTCTCAAACCCAAACTCACTAACAAAAATATTCGCCAACCCATAAAAACACAAGAAAGCAGATACAACAGGACACAGTTATTAAACTATGAAGGTCTACATGAGGGGCCAGCAGCAGAGACTCAGTGTAATCTGGAATAACATAGTAAATGCACACATACAAACACTCGCACGTACTTTCACACACTGATGCATACACTTACAGTGTTAATCTCCAATTCAGAACAAGCTGGTCTGGGATGACATCCATTACTGAGCTAGCTGTTCTTATTACAAATGAAACTTTCGAATGTAGTAAGAAGGCAAATGTCTGCCAACAGCTAATGGAAAATACACATTAATACATACACTCAGGACACTTTGACTGACGACGTTTCGGTCCTCTGACGTTGATTTCTTGTAATTCTAACAAAACTATTCAAAATCTATTTCTCGCATTTCACAATCCGTGTCCATAAAACTTTCCATATCCTCTGCCATAGGTTCAAGTTTCAGCAAATTTAGACGAAAGGGGAAATATCCCCATCATTTATACCGAAAGAAATACTGGGTTCTTATGCAAGCACCATGAAGAGGCCCCCTTACCACTAGGCACAAACCACAAGCCCCACCACCACGTGAGGGTGACTCGGAGTCGAGGTGGATATTAATTACTTGGAGCATACCTGGAAGGTGTTCCGGGGTGAACGCCCCTGCGGCCCGGTCTATGACTAGGCGTCGCGGTGGGTCAGGACCTGATCAACCAGGCTATTAATGCCGGCCGCACGCAGACCGACGTGCGGCTGGTCAGGTACTGACTTTAGGTACCTGTCCAGCTCCCTCTTGAAGACAGCCAAGAGTCTATTGGCAATCTTCTTCACGTTTGCTGGAAGACAGTTGAACGGTCTGGGGCACCTAACACTTGATGTGTTGTCTTATGGCACTCCGGCTTTTCATTATGGAGGGGGATGCTGCACCACCTGCCGAGTCTTTTGCTCTCGTAGGGAGTGATTTCCGTGTGCAAATTTGGGTCCCAGTATCCACATCCAGAACCACATCCAAAACTTTCTAATTTAATAATATACTTATGTGAAACACTAACCCCGTGTGTGCCATCCAGCTCAATGAGTCATGGAGGATCGATCCTCAGTTACTGAAAGACACGCTACCTATCCTTACTGCAATAAAAGGGTTGTGAGCCTCAAACTTTCTAACACCACTGGATCTTCTGTAGTGGCACGTGAGCCATGAATGTGTCTCATAAATATTGCACCTGTCTTGCACGGTGACTGGGCAACTTTCCCTTGCTGGCGACCTCGACCATAAATTTACACCCACCAACTTGTAGCTTCCTTTACATGTAACAGATACACCCACCTGAAGACATTGCTATAACAAGCAGTAAAGACGGCCTTATCTCAAGAAAGCATCAGAGGCTGAATACAGAGAACCTTCTTCAAGTCTTGTTTTATTTATACCTCCAAGTGGGCCTCTCCTTTACCATTAACTTGTCGTAATTACACTACACCAACAATGGCTATGTTCTTCACACTAACATCACTATATATCTATATACACATTTTTACACGTACACCCTTGTCCCCACACATGCATAACTTTACCCACATATAGGTACACACACATGTATATAGTCACATACAATATTATATATATATATATTTTTTTTTTCAACAAGTCGGTCGTCTCCCACCGAGGCAGGGTGACCCAAAAAAGAAAGAAAATCCCCAAAAAGAAAATACTTTCATCATCATTTAACACTTTCACCACACTCACACATTATCACTGCTTTTGCAGAGGTGCCCAGAATACAACAGTTTAGAAGCATATACGTATAAAGATACACAACATATCCCTCCAAACTGCCAATATCCCAAACCCCTCCTTTAAAGTGCAGGCATTGTACTTCCCATTTCCAGGACTCAAGTCCGACTATATGAAAATAACCGGTTTCCCTGAATCCCTTCACTAAATATTACCCTGCTCACACTCCAACAGATCGCCAGGTCCCAAGTATCATTCGTCTCCATTCACTCCTATCTAACACGCTCATGCACGCTTGCTGGAAGTCCAAGCCCCTCGCCCACAAAACCTCCTTTACCCCCTCTTTCCAACCCTTTCGAGGACGACCCCTACCCCTCTTTCCTTCCCCTATAGATTTTATAATATATATATATATATATATATATATATATATATATATATATATATATATATTATTATATATATATATATATATATATA